TAAAAAGCTGGGATCCTCAATTTCTGATTTTCAGCTGCATCTGTAGTTTTTTGGTCTTCAATGACAGTTCAGAAGAACGCTAGATTATTCATTTTTGATCTCTTTGATGAACGACTGACTCAGCATTTTGAGATGAGATTAGTTATTACGATACCAAGAAAATCTAGTGTGCAGGACATGAAACAGGGCGTGTGTTTTACCTAACCGATGACTCAGCCACTCCCCGACCTCGCCCTCCACATTAAGTGTCAAGTTAAAACAATCTTCCTCCAAACTGTCATTTAAAAAATAACCTTTATGCAGTCAACACTTAAAAGCACCACCAAGAATAAGTATGCCTTTGATCAACAAATGTTTTTTGTTTTAGTTACAGGACAGTGCCTGTTCAATTTGACTCTTACTATCACCTTATAACTGGGATCTCTGTTCTTCTTTAGGGCTCCTCAGACGATGTAAAAAAGGTGATGCGGCGGGAGAAGAACCGGATCGCTGCTCAGAAGAGCAGGATGAGGCAGACTCAGAAAGCTGACAGCCTACACTTGGTAAGGAGCCCTTTCCATGCAACATCCATTCAACTCGTGCAACATAAGCGACACTATTTATGTCACACTTGTACTTCTGGAAAGCATGGTATTAAAGGTGAAAGCCTTCTTAAATTATGGCTCAGTTTTTAGTGGATTGTTTCTCTACACAAGCCAAAGAACAAGCCCTAAATGACATTGCTTTCCAAAAGCATCTTTTTTTGTTTTGCACTGCCATGCTGGTTGAAAGTCTGATTATATACCGAAGGTTCAAGCACAACAGGGCTATCCTTGCAAAAATACTGTGTAGACATTTGTCCAAGTTGTAACAGTCTGCAGTGCTTTATCTGTGCCCGCATGCAGCGCCTTCAAGGCTCTAGGATACAGTTTGTACTATATTTACAAAATGCTACCTGACCATGTGGCGATGTGTCATGGCTTCTGTTGGGCTGCACACTTGGACGCTTCTCTGTGTGTTTGCAGAAGCTTCAGGAATAAATTAGCACGTGTGGGCAATCACTCCCTTTTGCAGCAAAATCCAAAGCCAGAGACTGCAGCGCTGAATTTCATAACAGTGTACGAGGTTGTTTATTAATCCCCCATCATTATTTCTGTGCAGCTCAAGGGGTTCACTTGATAATTTCAGCTTCTCTTTGTTTGAATTGGCAATGAGATGATGCTTTAAAAGATAAGAAACAGCTAAAACATTATTTATGTTCTACCCCCATAAAAAAAACACCTTGATTTGAATGTTTAAAAATGTCTTGAGAGCGAGCACATTTACGAGTGCTTTTCCAATCTGTCTGCAGACAAAAGGCTGCTTCGTTTTTTTGTGAGAACTTTATGAATCCTTCATAACCTGCAATATGTCTACATGCTGTCACCTTATCAGCAAGCTGTTCTCAGAGCAGCTGTTTCTGTGAACTTTATCAGATGAAAGGAGGAGATATTGACCTTCAGAGACAAAGACACAGTGTAGGCAGTAGCAGATACATAGATTTGAATGCCTCCTGTGAAGTGTATGTCGTATATCATTCATCTCTTTAAAACTGTGTCACAGTCACAGAGAACACCAGGGGACCACAGAGCAGTGTGGTTTTGCTTTCATCGTCGCACTAGATAAACAGGAAGATGAATTTTCCCTCTCTATGACACTGCTTATTTCCTGTTTCTTCAGTAGTATTTTTTTTTCTTCCGCGTAAATGTGCTTGAAATTGTCGTGGGCAGCAGGGGAGAAAAAGGCTGTCACTTCTTGTAAAGCGCTGATAGCAGTGGGCTGTATTTGGCTAAGTGACGCATGTGCAGGGGTTTGCCCAAAAGGTTCTGTGACAGTAAGGCCCACAGATCTCAGTTATTATGAACTTTAGGCCATGGTGAGATGACCTTTATTATTACCCAAGTGGAAGATTTCTCGCCTTCCATTCCCACAAAAAAGAAAAAAAAAAGACGTGCAGTCTGGTTGACACATTAGAGAAGTTGTTTTGGAAACTTTGAGAATGGCACCTTTTCAATATGTGGTACACTGTTTGAATTCACACATGTTGATTTGAAAGAAGTATGCTCTGTGTTTACATTAAAAAAATAAGTTTCCTTACAGTCAAGTGAAAGGAGAAATGTAGTTTTTAATTGAATTAGCTTCTTTTCAATTCCATCCAGTTCAGTATACAAAAATCACATTAAAGTAGCATACCATTGTTTTAAAGGAACACCTTTAGCCTACATATAATTAAAACTAGTTGAATTATTTATTTATTTATATATAGCCCACTTATGGATATTTGGTAACATAACTGACCTTATGTAGCCTGTTTGTAGATACTTGTTGGAGATAGACAGTCCATCATAATGGACATCATCGTCCCTTGTTTTTTACTTTTGTTGCGTAAGAATGAAGTTGAAAACAAAAGATGCCACCACAAATCAGTCTAGGTAAGATTGAAGCATCAAAATGTCAAGAATCACAGCCAAACAGCAAGTGCTAGCTAGCATGCTAGCATGCTAACTCTCGGCCAACTTACAGCATATAGACTCTATAAAGAGTATTAACAGCAGAATACCTTGCATCAAGTGAAGCCAAAAGAGTTAGAGCTCCCACTGCTGACTGGTTGCAGTATAGTTCATAACCCCCCCCCCCCCCTTTACATTTACTAAGAGAACAGGGGTCAAACTATAAACTCTAATTTAGAGTTTATAGTTTGACCCCTGTTCTCTTTAGAGTCTAAATGCTTGTATACATTATTTTTCCAACCCAGTTTGTCATGATAGCTAGTTGTATTAACACCTATATGTGTTCAAGTCAACTTCTGAGAAGTTTCTTTCAAATTAGTTATTTAATGCTATAAAACGGTATGAAATGTCACAATTGACAACACTGTTGACCAATGCAGTTCCTCTGGTACTGCGTATTAGCAGAGTGCAGCAGAAACGACCAAAGAAAACATTACAGACACCAACACAAGAGTCATTGAACTTCCATAACGGCAAGTGTCTGCTCCAAACTGACACAAGAATCAAATCTAGTCTTTGGTTTACAGAGTCAGATTGCTAACATTAGATAACTAGCATTCAAAATGAATTACAGCCAAAGCTTATGGTCATGCAATTAGTTTTGCCAGGATTTGGTCATGAAACAAAGAAAAATTGATGGCAATAGAGAAAACATTGGAGTGAACAAGGTTATGTGTCTAAAAGAGAACTTGTGAGTGCCACATTTATTGATAAATGACCTGATAGTTGTTGAGAAAGTTTAACCAAAACCACAATTGTCAGCATTCAATGGTGCTAGATTCAGAGTCAGGGGATTTCCAAAGACTCTGTGGTCAAAGCTCTTTACACCACGATTCAGTAAAAGTACATTTAAAAAAACAAAAATTGAATGGTTAATATAAATCAGTGTGGGCAAGTTGGGACGGCTGTGCTCAGTGGTAGCTGGTGGTCTCTCAGCCAGGGGGTCGGGAGTTCGATCCCCAGCTCCTGCAGGTACATGTTGAAGTGTCTTGGATAAGACACTGAACCCCAAATTGCTCCTGCTGCTTCGTCAGCGGCGTGTTAATGTGAACCAATGGGTTAAGTTAATGCTAATGGCAACTTTACATAGCATCCTCTGCCACCAGTGTGTGAATGTTGTGTGAATGGGTGATTATGACATATCGTGTAGAAAGTGCTTTGAGTAGTCAGAAGACTAGTAAAGCGCTACACAAGCTAAAATCCATTTACCATTTGCCAACTGTTTGGACCACCCAACTTGAAGACTAATGTTGCCGACCATGCTCTGGTATAGAATATACTAATAATTTATTTCAGGGTTGAAGCACCAAAAACATGCTTAAGTACCTGTATGACAACAGGATTGATTTATCATTGATAAAGTAGAATGGTAGGCTATCACTTACATGTCATCTATTTTAACCACATAGATTAAATGACTGATAGAAAACATTTTAGCTTAACTATCCTTTCCTTTTTTTGTTTCAAGGAGAGTGAGAACCTGGAAAAGGAGAACGCCGCCCTCAGGAAGGAAGTGAAGCAGCTGACAGAGGAAGCCAAGTATCTGTCGTCAGTACTGAGCAGCCACGAGCCTCTGTGCACCGCCCTGGCTCATCACAGCAATTACCATCACCAGCACATCACTGTACCACACTACCAGCACTGATCTGATCGACGACATGCTGTGAATAGACGACTGACCTCAATGGAGACAGAGACTAAGTGGAGCTGTGTCTAAGATAGGAAATCCTCATTCAATAGTCAATGTCTGCCAATCAATGACAGTATAGAGTCTACACCCTAACATGCATATTCAGAACTATTTATTGTGTCTCGCTCATCCCTTTGCTTTTTATCTGATAAATATGTGAACTAAGTACAATTATCTACCAGTCTATGTTTACATTTCAAGAAAAAAACAACCTATGGTAATTTTCAGGGGACCCAAGATTTTATTTTTGTAAATTGCTTGTTTTTTCCGCGTCACTGAAAGCACTTATTCTTTCATGTTTTTTTTGAAATTCTTGTGTTTAATAATGTGTTTTCAATGTGTTAATGTTGATGGTTAATGCTCAGGAGCTTTGACAGATTTGATTGTGGACAAAGAGAATGTAACTTCAAGATACCTTTCTATAGAAAAAAGGCTGAAATGTACCAAAAAAAAAAGGAGAAAGAATGGGCAATTGAAGGGGTCTTGACTCGTGTACTTCTGTACTGAAGATGATGCTGGTATATGACAAGAGCCAGAAAAAGATATTTATTAAATGTGATGCCTTTTATGTGATCGTGCAGGGGCTTGTTTGTCATGCATTCAAATGTGTAAACATCATATCTTGTGCTGATAACATGGGTTCGCTAGATGGCGCTGTGCACCATTATGAGAGATGAGGGTTACGTTAGGCCTATGTTGTTGGGGGGGGGCACAAATAATCATTCATAAACTGCCCTGTGTGGGTGTACACTCATGTTCTTCTTGAATACTCGAGCTCTTATTTCGTATGGGTTTCTGTAACCATTTCTCTGTCTTCAGGCTAGTTTAAAAATAGCAAACAAACAAAAAAAAACATTTAAGCTACAATACTGAGAAAACAGGAAGTCACCAAAGTACGAGTAGCCTACACCAGACACATTGTATCAGAACAGAAACAGCAGACTTCATGGACGTTAAGAACTGGAGAAATGTGCGGTATCTGACGGCTCCAGTCTGTAGTGATAACATACAGAACAGAGCATGAAACTCCGCCCTTGAGCCTCAGTTGACCGACTTGTTTCAAGACCTCAAAGCGGTGTTCAGGTCCGGGTGGAGGGTCACAGCAGACGCTCCTACACGTGTTAACACTCCGAAACGTCGGCTGACATGGAAATGAAATGATCTTTGACTCAAATTCCAACTGTACAGGCTTTAGGCGCAAGAGTTCGACTCCTGAAGTTGCTTTAAAACCCGGGGGAGGAAATGAATTAACGGACCCGATTTTTTTAGTTTTAGATTTTTCAAAAAGACTGGTGATTTGAAACATAGACTTTGATTCAACTTCCCCTTTTCTCCTTCTCCACCGCTGGGTGTTCACTCCCTATGAAACAGAGCGACTTTCTACTCCGGAAAGTTTAAAGCGTAAAGAAGTTTGGAGCGAAAACTTGATACTCCATGAGTAGTATTGAGGACATTGGTTTAATATGAGCGAGAAAGAAGCCTTAGGAGACACTACACTAAACGGAGATAAAGCGAAGCCGGACTCTGAAAACAATGTTAAGCAAGAGGCGGGTGACTCGGAGAAGCCTCCCGGCGATCAGTGCGAGTTTGGCGGCCACGAAGGGCAGCGACCCACCCGTCTGTACAAGCGGCGCTGGCTGATCGTCCTCCTGTTCAGCTCCTATTCACTGTGCAACTCCTTCCAATGGATCCAGTACGGCATCATCAACAACATCTTTATGAACTTTTACAACGTGGACGCCTTCACCATAGACTGGATGTCTATGATCTACATGCTGACATACATTCCCTTCATCTTCCCGGTCACCTGGCTGCTGGACAAAAAGGGGCTCCGGGTCATCGCGTTAGTGGCCACCGCGCTGAACTGTGCGGGGACGTGGATCAAGGTGGCCAGCGTCAGACCCAACCTGTTTGCGGTCACCTTTCTGGGACAGTTCTGTTGCTCTTTTGCGCAGGTGTTCATCCTCGGGATGCCGTCGAGGATCGCGTCAGTTTGGTTTGGTTCAGGGGAAGTGTCCACCGCCTGCTCCATCGGAGTCTTCGGTAATCAGGTAACATGTAAACACAGACTGTTCAGTCAGTATCTAGGTCAGGTAAGGTCTTAACCTACTTGATCAACCATTTAAAGAAAGTGATAGCCGTCCACTTATCATTTGGACATCCCCTCATCTATTTAACACTTTTGCGTAATTACGCACGTTCAGGCGACCACACTGCATCTCAGGTGCGTTCAAGGCACAAGACTGAGTGCTGAGATTTTTAGAGAATGAATGACAGCAAGCGATCGGGCATGCATGAAGAAAACTCACTTTCCAAATATTACCAACATTAAGATGATTATCTGTAGGCTCGAACATTTTATCGGTTGTTGCCCACTGTGGAAATAACCTACACATTTCATTTGATCAAACTGAGATAAAGAAAACATTTGGTTGTATAGCCTTTATATAAACCCAAGACAGTACACAATTATTCTCATATATATACATGCATTTTCAGGCAGGCAGAGTCACTGCAGGTGGGAATTAAATACATTAATCGAAGATCTAGCTCAGGTTGTGTTGACTTTTATAAAAGAAGAATTTTTGGTCAATCAGTGTGAACTTTTGTGTCAGGGCAACACTTAAAACATGTGTCTTGAAGCAGAATGGGGAATCTCTAAAGTCCTCTGCAAATAGATTTACATCCTGGACCAATGTGACTTTAAATAACAGTATGGAAATGTGATTTAACACTTACATTTATACTAGCTTGTCTAACAAGTTAATGCCACCTGACTGCAGCTGTGAATACCTGATAAGTGATTGACAGTTTATTGAGTGGTAACACAAGAGGTGCGAAGACGTCTGTTCTCAAGTAGTTTTCTCTATTTTCATTTCAAAGATCAGCATCGTGCCACTGTCACAGTAACAACTGCTGACAAACATCAAATTTAGCACTTTAGCACAAACAACACTTGAGTCAACTTACAGTTCAGTAAATGTCACCTAAAAAGTCACCACTAAGTGCTGGAAATGTTGCTTTGTGTAAACCAGAGTACAACTGCCTGTCTTACTGGAGTTTAAATAAGTTGGTACAAACATTTGTTTTCTTGTAGATAAACATTCATCACTCTTTTGCACTATTCCTGCTGAGACCTGCACAAAGCCAGAGTAAAATCAGGTTGTATATGTCCCCTTTTATTCTGTTATTACAACCAAATTTAGTTACTTGTACAAAGTAGTCCACAATTTTTGTCAGTTTATAAAAGGTTCTTTTATTGCATCAAAATGAGCCTTTTTGATATCAGAACATTTCATTTTATAAGCCATATCTCAAAGACTTACATTACAGACTTTATTGCTACTCTTATTTTCTTTCACAGTCACTAAAAAGGTACAATCTCAGTCGTAAATCAAAAGTACAAAAGAAATCATTACCAAAAGAGTTTTGACAAAATGACTGGAGGAGGCAAACATTCTAACAATTGTGCTAAGAATTAACAGGGATCTTTAGGTGATCAATAACAAACATTTTGAAAGGTTAACCTGTTTTAGCAATCCAGAGATTAAAATGAGCAAACTTTCACAAGAGACTTAGTAAAAGTTTAACACATTTTTAGTTTTTTGGGTGTACTCGCTGCTATTTGGACAGTTAACAACAGAGGTGAAATAAGACCTTTGTTTATAGGAGGATTTTTTTGTATTAACGTCACATGACAAGACTGAAGTTATGTGCAACCAGTTGTGAATGGACTCCAGTAACTCCAGTTGTGCTCGCATTCTGCTGTCTTTTTTGTACAAAGCATCTTTTCACAACAGGGAGTTTGCAAGCAGGACGGCAAGCTCTTCGGACACAAGCTCTGAAAGTTTAAGAGCCCTCACCTCTCGCTTCCCGGGGGCCCGCTTCACGAAGGTTAAAATGCCACAAAACAATACTTTGAAAGACAACCATGCAAATCCTGACCTCACTGGTGAAGAATGGCCTCGGTCCAAGGCTTCAAAGAATCTCGCTCCAGGCCTTGCTTCGCTGCAGTGGAGTCCAGGACCTTTGGGCAGAGCCATCTCCATTGGTTCACGGGTAGATGCTGAGACTTTACACTCTGACCGAACAGAGCTGCTTTCAAAGATTGAGACCAAACTTTACCACCGTCGATGGCTCATGCTGTTTCTCTTCAGTGCTGTCTCAGCAAGCAATGCCTTCATGTGGCTTCAGTACGGCATTATTAGCAACATATTCATGCGATTTTACAACATTGATTCTCTGGCAATTGACTGGTTGTCCATGATCTACCTCCTCACTTACATCCCGCTCATCTTGCCTGTCCTCTGGCTTCTGGAAAACAGGGGGATCAGGGATGTGGTCCTTGTTGGGGCAGCGTTTAACTGCATTGGTGCTTGGATAAAAATTGGTAGTGTTGGTCCAGAGCTTTTCCAAGTCACCTTCTTTGGCCAGTTTATTTGCTCAGTAGCCACCGTGTTTGTCCTCGGTATTCCCTCTTACCTTGCCTCAGTGTGGTTTGGTGAAAAAGAGGTTTCCACTGCTTGCTCCATCGGAGTTCTGGGGAACCAGGTTTGTCAAAACATCCAAACAATAACCATTTTATTTTCTTCTTCCTCTGCATTAAAGTCCACTAAGCCAGCCTGTCTGAGAGCTGTCTGCAGATTATACAGGGCTGTGCTGAATGCCTAAGTCTTATAAGACTTGTGGTGTCTTAGTGTGAGAAGCCCAAGGAAATCTTTTTAACTGTTTGCAGAAACCTTTACCTGTTTATAAAGATCTCTTCTCTAATTTAATTTGGTACATGGGGTTAATAGAGAAAGAAAAACATTTTACGCTGATTTCAAATGACTTGAAAAACAATACATTGTATTCTTTGTGCTAATTTCTTTATAGTTGGGCATTGCCATTGGGTTCCTGGTGCCTCCTATACTGGTGCCCAATGTGGAGGACATGGACGAACTGGCTAGCCACATCAAAGTTATGTTCTACATGACAGCAGGAGTGGCCACCTTACTCTTCATCCTCGTCGTCTTTGGTAAGATTTGTGTTTTTGCATGAGTAAAGATTCAATCCAAACCAATTTCTCTTTTTGGGTTATCTATCTTGTGTCTTGGGAATATCCAACCATCCCAGCAAAAGTTTTGGGCAAGTTTTTGAAAGTGAAATTTCCCGATGTCCAAATACAGTAGAAATTAATGGATTCAGTTTTGCAGTTGAAAGCATTGTATGGCTACAATCAGTGCTCACAAAATTCTCACTTGGACTATTTCTTTAATAAAGCATAGTATCAATGACAGTTGATATCTCAGTCACTTTATTTTTCATAGTACTTTTGCCAGAGAGTTTTTTTTTCAAATGCAGTTCCTGGATTCTTGGTGCAGCTCATTAGAAATTTCACTGGCCTTCATTATATTGGAGCAGCAATGTGGATGAAACTGAACTTTCTACATGGCTGGAAACTGGGAGGGAAGCAGGTTTTTTTTTGGTCAGTTTTTAGATTTAGACAGGATGTCAATTTGCTGGATATGTGATACACTAACCTTAACTGATGTCACTGTATTGTGTAACCAATGGTTTTTGTTGAATAGAAAGAAATAGAAATTGGGAAATTGCTCAAAGACCCAATCAGAAAATAAAATGAATGAAAGGCTTCATCAGTCAGTCAACAAGCTTTTCTAATTTCCTGCACTTTAGTCGTTGTTTCTCAGAAACAGTAAATGGTCTGGGTCACTTTAGGACGGAGGGATTCCCTCAGTTAATGGAGCTACCTGCTGATGGTTTTCATTTACACTGTGACAAGAAGTACCATTCAGTGGATAAGAGAAGTGCTGACCTGCTGGTTCTCACCAAACACAAAACCCTCTCTGAACGGGGAGGTCCACAAAAAAGAAACTGTTGTTGAACCAGCAAGGTCAGGAGGAAAATCATGGGAATGGGCACTAAAGGAAGATCTGTTTAGCATACTGAACACAACTGAACTATTTTGCAAAGCACTTGTTACTTTATGGGATATGAATGACCTTAACTGCATTTTCTAGTGGAAGGAAGTGGTGCACAGTGACTTGTCAGACAGGATATGAGTTGCAGGGAAAACTGCTTAGTTATAGTCTATCTTATTTCTGTCACTCTTGGATTTTGACCCTATTTTCTTTTTATTCCCCTATAAGGGTTTTAATCATGTGATGTGTTTTTTTATATGGGAGGTAGATTAATCCAAAAAGTGGTTAATCAGAATAAAGTAGCAGACAATGTTGTGAGTATGTATTGTTCTGAAGAGAAGACAGGGCTGGGTAGTTGTCAAAGAGGAGGAACAAGTTTCATGAAGAAGCTGTTGTCCTGTTAGGGCAGAGAGCGGGTGGGGGAGCTCGTAAGTGTGCTGCATCCAGAAATACAAAAGGATGCTTGTGAAGGGCATTCTGTAGTAACTCCACGTTCAACATTCAGACTGACTCAACTGTCTGTGTTGTACATAAAACCTTGAAAAGCAGACTTTCACTCACTCTCTGCTGATTTTGCTAGCTGGGCCATTCAAATTTTGAATATAACATTTTAAGTTTATTTTTTATTTTTTCGTATGACTGCTTGAAGAAATGTGTATAATTTTGAGAATTACACTTATAGGACATATACCACTCTATCGCTAATATGGTAATCATGACACCACAGTTAGCTGGTTAGCTTAACATAGCATGGAAAATAGAAACATGGGACCAGCTAGCCTAGATTTGTCTGAAGGTAACAAACTTCCTACAATCCTAAAAAAAAAGATGTCTAGAAATGCATGAAGATAGATTTTCTTGTAGCTTAATTTTTACAGAGCCAAGCTAGCTTTCAAACCTTTTTTTACTCTTCATGTCAAGCTAAGCTAAAAGGGTCTCCAGGAGACACCGTTCGCATGGATTAAAACACTTATATGATATTTTTCATCTTAAAAACTTGAAAGATAGAAATCTTAAAAGTTAGTAAGATGATTCTGAATCTACCCACATCATAGGCCGATAACTCTCTCCTATTTTTAGTCATATGGTGGATGCTACTAGGCAGCACGTGTCTGATGCTGCTCTAGGCTACACCAGCGAGTAACGACCACTAGTTGGCCACAATAGTTTCATGATATAACACATAAACTCACACACATACTGTAGCACACCCTCACACATACATGCGAGATGCCAAGTGTAAGGTTGTCCTGCTGGCAGGGCCATCTGTAGCCCTGCAACAGGCCTGTGACTCAGCAGGCCAGACAAAGCCCGAGGAGATCTGAATAATGAGTGTGCAGAGAGAAGCGAGAGAAGATGTTTAGCTGACAACCAATCTCAACCAAATAGGAAGTCTGCATTAGTGTCGGTGGATCTGGCTGACTGAAAAAGAGGCTGCAGTGGTGTTGTTAAGATTAGCTTGTACAATCTCTGTACCCCAAAGCTATCATTTGATGAAGACTATTGAAGCTATGGTAAACCTTTTTGGGCTCTGGCTGAGCCAATGAACAGCAATAAAAGACAACCTGTCTAGACTTCTGGTTCCATGTGCTGATTTGTTTACAGTCTAACTACGACTTGCGAAGTGAGGACGGAGTTGGTGTTGAGAAACAATGTCTTTCTTTTTTTACATCTACTGAAGCTTAATCTTTGTTGGGTGGCCGCTAGTGGGCCTAGGTATTGCAGATTGAATTCCATGTTTTCTGACTGTTTTCTTGCATTAAGCGAAAACCTCCTGACACCCCCTGAGATTATACTAGAGGACTTCCGGTCTGACACTGTCTATAGAAATTCCACAGTTTTGCGTGATCACCGTAAACATGTTTAAAATGTATTTTGAAATAACTTAAAGTTCCTGTGAGGAGTTTTTTTCTGATTATGAAACAGCCTTCAATCAATATGGCCGCCTCTGTATGACCCACAAAAGCAAATAATACCATCAGTAAAAGATTCGTTTTTTTTTTTATATATTAATGCTTAAAACCACTGCATTAGTATTAATGCTAATTAAACAGTTTGTGTCCTTTGAATAACAATCGCATCACGTGCAGTAAAATGCAGCGATGACTATTTCTATCTTTTTAATGTGTTGTCAGAGCAGACATCTTAACGAACAGGTTAGTTTAGTGAGAACTGGTTCCTGAACGCAGACCTTCAGGTCGGGTCAGCGAGCCGGGAGAAATAGATGGCTCAGCTCCAAGAACTACAGAGACAGACATCTGTGTTTTCCCATGGGGCCTAAGGGTGTGAGCTTTCAACCAGGAAAAAAGTCTGACTGAAACAGGTCAAAACACGGTTATCAGCCTCAAAGATTAACGTCCCCTAGGTTGGCACTGGCTGACTTTCCTTCTGCCTGAGATGTGGAATGTGTGAATAAGGGCCTCTGCATCATGTGTGTGTTCTGACATGTCCAGCTGGTTTCTTTATAACATGAAATTGTATCTTTGGGAGAAGAAACAAAATCTCTATTTCAGCATGATAACCCCTAATATGCCCAATGTCCCTATATCTAATTCATAACCCCCACCCCTTCTGTCAGTCTTCCAGGAGCGTCCTGAACTTCCTCCGACTCAGGCCCAGGCCACAGCTCGTCTTATCCCACCAGAGCAGTACTCTTACACAGCCTCCATCCTCAGGCTGCTCCGCAACAAGCCCTTCATCCTCCTCATCATCACTTACGGTCAGTGATTCCTATTCTCCAAAGTGCTACTTATTATATTCTGGTACTAGTCATCAACAGATTCACATGTTGTTTTTTATGTTGGTAATTTCAGTTTATTTTAGTATGGATTCTCACAGGATCAAATTGAAAAGTTTGCCTTTTTTCAGGTATTATCCATCACGTCATCACACTTTCCCTCTTCCACATCAGGTCATGATTGAGTAAATCGTAACAAGGTTTATTGTTTATTTCATAAAAATGAACACAAGTCATAAAGTCTTAAGCCCTTATACAGCAGTAATGAGAACTAGTGTTTCCTGTAAAGGTTCGAAGTGTGTTTACAGTCTAACAATGTTTTACAAATGCATTGAATTGGTGCCACCGAAAAGGTCAAAGGTTTTTTTTTTTTAAGTGACAGCACTCTGGGATATGAAGTGAAGTTTGTCACATAACTCCAGCAACGTTCAACAGCTGAGGGCAGTTTAAGGAAACTCTTTCTTCCACATTGCATAACCCTCCCTGTGTCTGTCATGTGACACAACTCATGTGACTATTATTAGTGGGAATCTGTCCTTGGTTTCTGCATATGATCTTTGGGTTGTCAGACAACTATTCATGGCTCACTTTGTCTTAGGTGTACTGTGTACCTGTGTTTGTGTCACTGTCCTGCAGGCTACACCTGTCCCTGTTTGTTTAACACTAAGTGACAGGCTAATTTACACAGTTCTATTTTTGAAACAGCATAAATTATACACTTAAATTCAATGATTTTATGCAGGTGTATTCTTCCTGTATAGTATTTTTGTCTGAGTGACTTAACTTTTTCTCAAACCTTAGCTCAAGAAAAACATCTTGTGCTGCTTGTCCTTATATAGAAATCCTTAATTTGGGACAGGGCTGTTTTGGAAACTGGCTTGATGAGGTTCATGTGTCACAACCAGAAACCAAAACTTCTACTTCTCACACCATGCCTTGCTTTTCATGATGGAGATACATACAACATGACTTTTTTAAAAAGTTTGAGTTATTTTTGTCTGGTGGTTTCTGTTATGCAGACATTGTGTAACCGTATTTTCCATAATCACAGGTCTGAACGTGGGTTGCTTCTATGCTGTTGGCACTCTGCTGAACCGTATGATCATCGTGCATTACCCTGTAAGTTCTGTCTGCTGTGTGTGTATATGAAGAGACAAAAAAGAGTACTTCAAAGTCTTCAAAGCTTAAAAGTTTGTTCAGCTGCTCAATCGCACAGCTCCACATATTGGCAGCATCAACTGAAACCTTTTTACAAAGAAATAATCCAACATAACATCAATAAGCTGCACTTAATAGATTTAATTCTATAATCGTGCTTTTTCTCAGACGCAGCATTCAGTGATTACTAACTAGAAGGGGTTTTTGTCCTTTCTGACTTTTCAATTGGTAACAGAGAAATCTTACTTAAGCTACAATTGGATGTGTTTTTATCTTTTGAATATTAGCTACATATGGTAGGTGGTTTAAAATTGGGTTTGATTTTTTTAAACATAATGCTGCTTTTGAAATTGAATTTAACCTTCCTTCAAAATGAAATGTGGATGAGATTCAGCTCAGCATCCTTGTTTGACATCGCTGCATGCTTTCTTTAAGACTGCCTTGCCTCTTGATGGTATGTAAGGTCAAAAGGTCACACACCATTGTTCTGTCTTCCATCGCCCCTTAGGGAGAAGAGGTGAATGCTGGGAGGATTGGACTCACCATAGTCATTGCGGGGATGGTCGGCTCTCTCATCTGTGGGATCTGGTTGGACAAAACTAAAACCTACAAGTAAGAGTTGGGATTCAAAAAAAAACGCAGACAATAGCTTGTTCAGTGTTTTTGTATTGATGTTGGGGCTCTGTGAGTGTTTATTCAGGTGCTGCTTTATACTGTGATCTCTCTGACCTATGGCTCAGAGTGTCCAGGCAATGAGGCGGTTTCATTTGCCCCCCACTGTGTTACTTCCATGAGAATTGTTCAACAAATGGAGGAATGTGGGTGTGTTTATTTTCTTCATGAAGGAACATATTTAGCCCCGCCTGGCTTTGTTTTTGAATTACTCTAATAGATGTGTTAATTATAATGTAATTGCACAGTATAAAGCACTTTTTAGATCCCATTCTGTAGTCATATTAAAGACGTGATTCAAATGTAGGCTTTTGATTCGCTTACCAATCAATCAAAAATAGTCATTCAACATGTTAGACTCAAGTTAGTTATTTCCCATGATCATTAATCTCTAGTTTGTGAATAGTACTTACCCAGATGATTGAAAGAATGTTTTTGTAAAAAGTTTGGTATTCTGTCCAAATATCTTTCATATTTGAATTTGATTTGCTTATTAACAGAAATATTGTTTGTTTTAAAGGGGCCAGTTTACATCGTTTCATTCATTGTTAATTTACAAGGGGCTTTCTGTATATCCTAATAAACGTGTTAAAAGATGTTTTTCATCATAAAAAATCTGCAAATATAATCTTTAAAGGTCACATATTATGCACAAGTCCCCTTTAACTTTGGGAGCTTTCTTCAATGTTATCTGAGAGACTGCTTTTAATCTCAACAAATGAATACACCTCTTGAAAAGCTTATGTAAAAGCAACCGCCCCCAGTGTTACACAGAGACATAGTCCACACAGTCTCTATTTATCATTCAATATTGAAAACCGAGTTAATTATTGTATATTTTGAATGTTTTTTGTCTTCAGGCAGACAACCCTGGCGGTCTACTTCATGTCTCTGGTGGGGATGATAGTTTATGCTGCTACACTCAATCTGGGACACCTATGGGTGGTCTTCATCACCGCTGGAGCTCTTGGGTATTCTTTCATTCATTTGTTCTTTCTTCTTTGGGTTTTGCTTAGACGTAGATATAAAGATTTATTTAATAGTTGTGAAGTTTTTGTGTTTTCATTCACAGAGTACTTGGTATGTGTAATATTTAAAGGCTATTTTTTGGCTTTTATGCCTTTATTGTATAGACAGGACAGTGGATAGAAATCTGATAGAGAGAGAGTGGGGAACATTGTTGTTGTGGAAAAGAAACCACAGGTCGGATTCAAACCCTGGCTGCCCGCTTTGAGGACTGCGGCCTACGTTCACATATTATTCAGACTGGGGAAATGATTATACATCCTCAGTAACTGACCTTGAGTAAGCTCAGTAATGTATTATTTTTAGCCCTGATTTTGTGCCTATTCCATTTGTGCGACACTTTCTCATTGGAGTTCACTGAACTCTGTTTCGGTAATATATTCAAGTGGGCGTTTTCTGTTGAAATTTGCAACAGTAATTTTCCGCCATGCTTATTTAGCTTTCAACTTTGGCACGATTAGCGTTCACACATACACCCCGGGACCTAATGTAAAGTTTTGCCCTTGTACACAGTGACACAGTGTTGTCATCAGATATAGAACAGAGGTCAGACAGTGTCCTGTACATTGAAAAGGAAAATGTCTGTAGTAAAATCATTATGAAAAAAAAAAGAGAGAGATAGATAGATAGAGATATATATATATATATATATATATATATATATATATATATATATATATATATTTAATAGAATTGGACTAGGGCCTTAGCACATACGATATATAGGCAAAAAGATTTGACTGCTTAAACAAATCTAAAATTCATAAAGTTTTACGAAGAAAGAAGAAACATTTTGGTGATTTTCCAAACTGAATCATTGAACTGTGATTCAAACTGAAGCTTTAGAGTCACTGTTCAATGAGAAATTAAACAGTTTAAGGTGGAATGAGTAGGACATTTTAGTGACTGTCTGTAAATGCATCACTGATGGTTACTAATGAACAGGAGAAAGCAGCGGCAAAGGAGAAATGTAAAACATGAAGGTGTTAGCGAGAAACGAAGACTGCATTAGAAACATGAAACTGTATTTTATGATTGTTCTTTAGTGGCTTTTAAGTTTTTTAAGTTCTTAAGCACTAATAAACATGCATAACATGAACCACAATAAGGTGGTGCAACGCTGCAGCTCGCCCGCTGTAGTCTCTCCTATAAACAGAGACAGCGATGTGTCCTGGTTGCTATACTATTTTGAGTCTCAGTCTGCTGACTGTCACTTGTCTTGGGGGTAAGTAACTCTTCCCAAAGATTATATAAATCACTCTTGTACAGAAAAATAATAAAAGGTAAGGCAGACAGGGGTCAGAGTCCCTGCTGATGCAGACACTATCACACATCAGAATCAAGGAATGAGAGAAAATATTTTTGATGATTTTTTTTTTTGTTGAAAAAATTAGACTCATGTTGGTTTTAAATCTTTATAAGTCATGATGTGTTCAAGGCTACATAGTTTCTCAGCTTTAAACCAGATCTTGTGGTTACACACAAGACTGTTGTGAGGAATAAATTAGCTCCAGCTAGCTTCACGCTTCTGCAGCAATTTCTGGTATTCATTAAGAGTTAACGTTATTCGTCAGTATTTTGTTGTTTGTTTTTTCAACAGTAATGCCAAATAATTTCTACACCAATTATTGACCTTTTCATTCAATGTATTATTTGCCAATTTCTGAAGTACATCAGGCCAAAGCATTATGTTCCCTTGTCATCTCTCTTGTATTGAAAGCATATTTCCAGGCAGAGAAAGCATACAGAAATGTGACAGATACGTGTTAGAGTACAGTAAGTTACTGACTCATGCTTTTTATGGCTGTTGCCACGTTGTCATTGAGTTTCACTTGCTGTCACTTAAGTGGAAGCACAACAAGTTTGTTATTGACTGAGAAAACGGTCTTGTCCTGTACGCTTTCAAACCTGTTGTTCCTGTATGACATCCCTTATTATTAGAAAAGGGCGCAAGTAAACATCCTGTGAGGTCACTTACATTTAGTAGGTTCTAAGTTTGGAGAGGTGCTTTAAGGTTAATCTACCAAATGTCGATTCTTGAAATTCCCGGGGTAAATTATGGAAATGTTGTCAAAAATTATTCTCAGAATGGTTTCAGATTGGCAGAAAAAAAGCTGCAAGAAAATAAACTCATAATTATTTTTGCTGAATAACATTTAGAGTGTCTATGTTCTCTTGTCTATGTGTTTGGTGTCCAGGTTTTTCATGACCGGCTATCTTCCCCTGGGCTTTGAGTTTGCAGTCGAGCTGACGTACCCAGAGTCAGAGGGAACTTCATCCGGACTTCTCAATTGTTCAGCACAGGTACATCTCAGTGAGCACTAAGGTCACAAGTGCTGCTAAAAAAATCCTCTCTATTGCACATTGAACCTGAACTGCAACTCCATTTACTGCTTCACAAGTTGCAACATACAGAAAAGGAAGTCTTGGCTGAAAGATCTACATCTCTTACTGCTGGCTACACTGGACTGGATGTTATAACCTTCTCTCTGAGACGTTATAACATCTATAGACGATAGTTGGGTTAACCAATTGCTCAGACAACAATAATAATAAAAACAGTTGCATTGCGCAGAAGCTCTGTGTTCATTCAAATGTGCACTGACAAGCAACCTGCAGGTAATGATTACATAAGGGTCTAAATAGAGCTGATTGGATGTAGTGGTCCTTTTGCTCTGCATGCTTCAGAGACCCTGTTATTTGCTGATTGATGAAAGTGAGGATGAACACATTTGTTTTGCATTTACCTTTTTCCATTGTTGCTGAAAATGTGGTTGTGTTTTGCAGCTTTTTTTCCCTAACTGTGTCCTGTTCTGCACACACAGGTGTTTGGCATTATTTTCACCATCTGCCAAGGGAAAATCATTGATGGCTTCGGCACATTGGCAGGAAACATCTTCCTTTGTGTCTTCCTTTTAATCGGAACTATAATGACAGGTAAGGCACTTCTGATAGTGAAACACCGCGTGGAGTCATTGCGAGCTGTTGATTTTATCTCCTATATTGCAAGTGAGAAGAATGATCTTTGCTGGTCACTGCTTCTGTTGTGAGTTTTTGAGGGAAAGGGTTGAATTCCAGGAATGCACACGAAGGACTCAGTTTTATTTTTTTAATTCTTCCAGAAGATGTTTAAATGTCACTGTGCAGTTCTTGACAGAAGCCACAGACAATCTCTCTCTCTCTGTTCTCCTCACTCAACATGTTTTTCACTAACATGTTGTTGTCCATTGTCAAAGATGGAAACATTTTGCCCCACTTAGAAATGTGTTAACGTGCCAGAAATGCTGCACTTTTCCTGCCACACAGTTTGTTTTCAGATGCCTAACTTGAGAAATCTGGCCCCGGGGTCAATACTAAGCTGCTTAAGTCATTTCTCATGGTCCATTGAGGGGTTTATTAGCTAAGTATAACTCATTAAAAATGCTTTAGCCACTGAAGCGCTTAACTTTGTTCACACTAGGACAAAAAAAACAAAAAAAAAAAACATAGCGAGAATACAGTATTTAGAGAGGCTTGTCTGCTCACAAAGGTCATCACACTGACTCACTGTTATTGTTACTTACTTAACATTTAGATAAATGAGTGTACTCAGTTGCTGTGATCATCATGCCAGCTTTCAAAGAAAAAAAACACAGCTTTGTGGAAAATGTGCACCTGATCTTCCTGCTCTTTTATTTGTGGTAAACTGTTGAGTCTTATCTAAAATTCCCCTTTAAGAATGCACAAACAATATTGCACCATTATAATATATTCAGTTACAAAGGTGAACATTTGTGGTGAAACATTTCTCCTCCGGTAGAAACAGAGCTTAATGATTAAGTTGCAACAAATCTGTTTTCATAATTTTTCCAGTGCAAAGTTTGAAGGTTAGCGAGGTGCCTGCTTGAGTTAGACACACTGTATTTTCACAGTCTTGGGAAACAGTAAGTAAACACTAAGTTTATTATGCTCAAGCACACTGCCCTTGTTATGAAGGCAACATGTCTGCACACAGGAGCCATCTACTGGTGAATCAGCTTTTACTACACCCTGTCCTTAACATCCACTTTTATTTCAAAAGCATCCATCTGCTTGGGTCTTTCCGAGGTGTTATTATTAGTGTAGGATAATAAATTATTTGTCCTTTTTTATTCTTTTTCTTGCTTGCTTATAGAATACCTGTTTGCCATTATCTCATGTAGCTGTTATCTGTTCTGTGTCTTTTTGTCCCTGCAGGATTGATAAAGTCCGACCTGCGGAGACAGAATGCAAACATGTTGGCCAAAGCAGCTGTAAGTAAAGCACATCATCCGTACATGCTGTATTTGGTTTGGATGTAACTTGTCCTGTGACTTTAGGTCAGCAGTAGAATATGACTCAGCTTCACTGTGGACCAGAGACTCGCACCTTTTAAAATAGCTGAATTAAAAGTGACCAGTAGCTATTGTTTTAGGCGGAGAGGCAGATGTCGGGACAAGACTATGGAGCCACAACACTAATCTCCACGCCGCAGACTCCTCCTTCTCAAGCCTGATCAATAAACCTTTCTGCTTCAACAAAAATCAAATCAAATCTTTGCTCAACACGCCGATACACAAAGGTAGGAGCATGGAGCAATCAGCACACACAGCTTGCAATCACCTGCTGCACATCCTTCCATCTGTTTCCAGCTCAGATTTTATGGATTGCTATCTTTTAAAGAATCAATTTATGGTGAAGATAGGTGACTGATTAAAACTGTAAATGTTGATACCATTTTAGATTTCAGATCCTTATTGCCTTACAGACACATTTTTCCACCCTGCAGCTCCAAACAACAGCTTTGATTACAAAACAGCCCTCTGATTTATTTCTGTTGTCTTGTGATGTTTCTCTACACGGGCCTTTTTCAGTAAAGACACTTTACTTTCATAAAAATGAAAGGAGTGATGGCTGAATTTAATTTAGATGTGTCAACCTCAGGGTCCTGGTATCTGTGAGAAGTCTTCTGTAGTTTTAATTCTTCTGTTTGTTCATGGTTAAGGATAGCGACACATACTAGTCATTTCTCACTACCTGCAGAGTGTTGTCAATGTAAGCGTTGTAGGTTTTAGTTTCCCTTTCTCCCGCAAATGTGTCATGTTTGCGAGCTAGCAAGCTGTTAGCTAGCCTGACAGCTGTCCAGCAAAGGCAATAACGATTTAAAAGTGCATACAGAAGTTTTTAGAACAACTCCAACTTTCAAAATATGTTAATTGTTTCCAGGAAAAGTTAGATTTCTACATTCAAAATGCCCAAATTTATATGACAGTCACAAATGACACCTGCCATGTTAGCATCCTTGATTGTTTGTCTCATGCATGCTAGCTCAGGGGTTCCCAACTTTTTTAGCTTGCGACCCTGAAAATAGGCTGCTGGGGACAACAGCCCAAAAACCATACAACTGTTTTATAAAGTCATGTGTTGTAAGAGAGGCTACAGCATAGTACAAGTAATTTCCATGAACAGACTTAAGCACTGAGTGGACAAACCATTCTTAATAAATAGACACAGAGGTGTGTTCATCTTTATGTGTACAGAGCAACAGACACCTGCTTGCTGTCACGATCAAATTACATATTTTTACACATTGATTTCATTTTTCTTTCACTTAATGATGTGGATTTATTTTAAATTGAACTACTTCTTTGTAGATATATTTTATAATAATGGGTAAAAAATATTATTTTTTGTGATTTTCTTTTTTTAATAGTCCCGATCGCCACCTTGGGAACCACTGTGCTAGCTAAATGTCACACTGCCATGACTCCCTGACTGCCATGAGTAATGTTATTAGTAACATCCGTGCTTGAACTTGAACTTTAAGTCAATATGTCGTTTTGAAAAATGTCCTTTGATGTTATTTTGTCTCTTTTCACTCACATATTTGACCAAACATGTTATGTTGTCCCACTTGAACTGAAAAAATCTGATTGAGTCAGTGTAATGATGGTAACACATGCACATTTTTATTTGGGAGTCTTTTGCAGACCTTTAGTCAAATCCTTAACCTGCAGCAACTGAATGTAACATTCAAATGTTTTTGGTCCAAAGTACACGTTAGATAATGTAAAAAAAGTCAATAGAAATATTTGCTTTTCCTATCCTCATCCAAAGGTTATTTGCTATTTGCTATTTGTATGTCAATCTGGCAGGAAATAGTGAACCACGATACTAGGCTGAGCATACATTCAATCATACAATGACCTTCAGATTCTAAAACTGTTAAAATAACAAGCATGTTTTGACCTGCAGGAAACCTCGGACTGTCCCAATGAAAGCCTGGTGGAACCTCATGTTATCAGAGAAGCCAAGTTATAAACCGCACACACGAACATACAAGCCTTGAAAATGTCTTCAGGCTCTTTCCTGTTACCGTATAACATACGGTATAACATAGGGATGTCAAAGAGTTAGATGTACATTGTTGTAATAACTATTTATAAAAAATAAAATCTAAAAAAACGAAATAAATCGGATGTGTGATGCACAATGTTGAGCGTTATAAGTGACTGTATAGAAATATTTTTATAAGAGATTATGACTGACTAAATACTCTCACTAACTTTACAAGACTAATTTTGGAAACATTTTGTTTGTGGCTCAGCAAGCTGTCAGTATTTTCTGTTTGATTATGTATAAGCAGGTGCACATGTTGTCATGCAACACTATGTTTGTCGTTACACAGTTAACCATGTTAACAGTGTCAGCATTTTTAGAAGATTTGATTAATACAGCATATGAAGGAGTTTCTGATCCATTGCAGTCCACAGAAAATGATCAAATATCGATGACACACAGTTGTTTATTTTATTTGTAACAGCCTTCATGTTTACCTATTTAACATGGAATAAAACTTGTTTTTTTCTAAAGTTACTTGTCTCATTTGTTGTCATGCTTACCTTACAGTTTATAATACCAAAAACCAGAGGCACCACGCCTAAAACAAGTACGTGATTAGTGACTTATTGATATCATCCTCAATGTGACATGGACTTTTGTCACTTTGTAATCAAGATCGAGATATCCCTGATTACAAACCGAGACAAATAAAGATAACAACAACAACCTGAGATATAATCATCCGCCAGGAGGACGATTAGGAGGAACTGTCAGTCATTTATTTTTTTTATATAGAGCAATAAAACTGAATGAAAATAAAGTTGGTAAAGACCAATGAAATAGAGTACAAAGCACCACTCTGCCTTAGCTGTTACGAACATCTTGAATGTAGAAAAGTAGTTGTTGACACTGCAAACAGACACATTATTCTTTAATTAACATTTAAATGAACTAAACTGTGTTCAAATGAACCCTGGACACAAAAAAAATAACCTTCATGTGAGTTAAACTGACATTTACCAACCAAAACATATCAGAAAAGAGCAGACATTGGATTTAAACTGTGAGGCAAACAACCTGGGTTTTGTTTCTGATTCCACAGACGTGATTAGCTTAAGAAAAATACAACTCTCAAAAGCCTCGTCAAAAAGGTGTCAACATTGTGAACGTTCTTAAATGTTTTGTTCTGGAAGATTTAACAAAAACATGAATTTACCAAAAGCAGAGAGAGAGAGAACAAAACAAAATTTTAAATTCTGTACATGTTCTTTTTTTTATGTCTTATATCATTAGTATTATACATTAGTACACTTCCCCAACCCAGAGATTCAGCGTTTGATTCATTGCATGGACCCAAACCCTTCATTAGGGACCCCTGCACTAAGGTGCTAACTAATGCTAACATGAAGTTAAAACCTTCAAATATTATTTAATGAAATGTTTTGGAATAAGGAACTTTTACTTGTAATTGAGTATTTTAACATTTACAAATTGGTGCTTTGATTAATGTAAAGTAGAAGTACTCTTCGACCACAGATGAATACTGATGTATTTTACGTGTCAGTTCATCCAGGAGGTTTGTGATTACCCCTTGTGGCCACTTGATGGCAGTGTTGTTATATGCAAGCAGAACTGACTCCACCAATGAACCAGGCAGCCCAAAGTGTTCAAATGAGGGACACAAAAGAGTGAAAACACAAAACAACAAGTGTTCCAAGTGTCCAATTGTTTGTTTTAACTCTGATTTAAACTCTAAACATATACAGTGAAGAAAGCAGAGACTTGCAGATGTTCAAGTTGAACATTTCACTGGCATGAACAGTTTAAAGAGATAAAACTGCCTACGAGCAGCTCAGTTATGAGATCATCCTGACTTTGGTCCAGCGCTCAGTTCCCATTGGACTGATTCTCTGATGAGCTCATTGTTCTCCAGTTAGCTAATGACTGATCCCTGGCATTCATTGGATGTTTCTCTCCTGACTTTTTCCTGGTACAACAGGTTCATTAGCACATAGGTCTGTGGAAATACTAGCCATTAATGCAAGAACCAGCTGAGACAGTGGCATAACACCACCCCTTTCTGCACTCTTATCGAACTCACCTCATTCTAACTGATGTGTTTTCCAGCTGCAGTTTAAACACTTTGGTTCATATAAGAATGAAAAAAGAGACAAAATAAAACTTTGTTTTGGGTTGACCTGCAACACCACTTATGTCAATGCCAAAATTGTTGACACTGTATTCCACCCAACAGTTACCTTCTTTTCATTGACCTTTAGTAACATGGGAAATATTACCCTTAGATGGAAGGTCACAGAGAGATCAGGGCGAGCAGGGTGTGACATCAGACTCCTGCCCAACCACAGGCGGACGGATGTATGTATGAGTGACTTGAGCTTGTATAGCGCTTTTCTAGTCTTGTGACAACTCAAAGGGCTTTAACACCTCACTTACCCTTCATGCCCATCACACACTGATGGCAGAGGCTGCTTTGGAAAGTGTCCGTCAGTATTTAAGTATTGAATAATCTTATTCATACACATTCATAAGCAGCCGAAAATTGAGGTTAAGCGTCTTGCCCAAGAACACATCGGACAACCTTAGGTTGAGAGACGACAGCCTCTCCAACTGAGCCACAGCCACCCTTTGTACACATGTGATGTTTCAGAGCTGCATGGAAGTACTTACTGTAAATACAAAAAGCTGGGTCAATTGGTTGAAGTTAGGGCTCTTACTTGTTCCTCCTTACATTTGTCACATTGATTTTCTTGACATGGTCGCATGGAGGTAGCTTCTTCACCATACTTACTGACCTGTTTTGACAGACAAAAACACACTGTCACCAGTTCTTGCTCTCATATGTGACCGAGATTGGTGTGAGCGTCATCAAAATAAACTCTTGTTTCAAAGTATACCTGCAGTTATATATTATGATGTTGGTATATATTATGATCATTTTACAAAAAATTTAAGTGAAAATATTTGTAGTTAAGCTTACCTGTTGAAAAAGCAGATCTATTTGCCTGAAATTTCAACGTAATAAATCACAATGATGCTAAAAAAAAAAAAAGGCTGACTGTAGACAGTCCCAAACTCCACAATGCCTCAACCAAATTTCCAAATCTGACGTATTTTGGGTCCCACCCAACCAAATTTTATTAGTCGTAAATATTCTTAGTAATTGGGCCTACTGCAAAGTAGTGCATATAAGTGTCACTCAAGAAACACAGAACAAATTGTCAAGCAAAAAAACAAAAAATCATGCAAAGTCCCAGCTTAACAACATGTCAGATGTGTCCTTGGGCAAGACACTTAACCCCCCATTGCTTCCGTTGCTTCAGTGGTGGTGTATGAATGGATTAGTACTTACTCTCTGATGTACGTCGCTTTGGATAAAAGCATCTGCTAAATGAATTGTAACATTGTCTAAATAGTTACACTTTTTGTGATTGAAAATGTTTTCTTTCCTTATTGTTAATGACCTCCTGCAGCTCTCCCTCTGTACCCTGTCCACACTTCAGTGACCTAATGACTTCACCTGACAAAAGCTTTCTACATTTTGTACAGTACATTTGAGGAATTATAGCCTACTTTTTTATTTTCTTGCTGAGAGTTGGAGAGAAAAGTTTGATGCCACTCATATGTCTTCTTATTGGACAGGTTTGCTTTTCTTAGCTTTCTTATCAGTACAAAAGCCAGGCGTAGCTGTTTCCCCCTTTTGGTCTTTATGCTAAGCTAATCACATGGTGGCTCAAGAGCTATGGTCATCACATCTCCTTCTCAGTCTCCTGGTAAGAAATGGGCAAGTTGTATACCCTTAAATGTCAAATTATTATTTTACAGTTGGACCTTGAGGTTTGAGAGGTTGTTCTCAATATAAAAATAAACTATTGATGTTTTTAACCTAAAATTAGCTCTTTACACTAACGTTGTCTTTGAATCATTATGGATTTGTAACCACATTGCATTAATGTTTACCCACCTTCATTTGGATTTTTCTTTGGTTGCAAAACAAAAACAGAATGGAAAATACTTAGAGTTGATGAACGTTTTGTGATAAATGGTTTGTGGATTTTAAATGAGGCGGCAGCAAACTTCGGTTTAGAATCATCTGTTTAAAATGACACCAAGTCTGTATAAATGCTATCATCAAACAGCACTTATCATATCACCCTACATGGGAATAAATGGCCATGTTGCAATTGTAATTATGGTATTCACCAGTTTTATGATGCCCACATGATTGGTAATGGTGTAATTCACTCTCATGGCATGCATCAATAGCACAAATACTGAATACATATCTGCAAAGACCCATGGCATGATGACTTATTCTGCAATGCTGTTGCATGATGGTAAAATACGTCATCGTGCTGGTTGTGGCTGATCCTTTCTGCCTGCTGGCGCTTCACAGACATTATCAACTCTCTGCACCATGATCCATCCTGCAGCCACAAACCCAAAACCTAAAATACACAGCTGAAATCTCAAACTCTATATTTAGTTTGTCTGGTAAGGTGGGATGAAAAACAGCATGCTGTTTATGTCAAATGAGGTAAAGGGACTTGATTGTAGGCCTAGTTAGAAACAAGAAATAAACCATCAGTTTGCCAGTGGCACGGCTCGGTGGTGCAGATAGTGCAGATAGGAGTGAGGAGCAAAAGGCATGAATTAGAAGAAGAAATGTGGAGGAATGCAGAAACACAGCATGGGCAGAGGGAGCTGTGCGCACGCGATCTCAGACAATCGGGCGGAAAAGGAGTAAAAGATAAAGTCTTATTAAAGCATATTGTAGAGATGTGAAAACAAGAAGTATAAAAATAAATCTGAATCCAGGTTGTTGCAAAGTGCGCTAACACATGCATGCAAGGTTATCTGGGTGTTTTTTTGTGTGCAAAAAACAAAGAACATAAAAGTAGAATATACAAATATAAGTTTATATGAAATATATATAACGCAATATATGTGCAAATGGAGTAATGGAAAAACTTTACTTGTGCAGGAATACTCTGTTTAATGCTCAAATCTATGTTACAAAGAGGTTGTAGCTGACAAATCAGATATCTAATGAGCAAAAATACCTGAAGGGAGGAGTGCATAGTGCAGACTGTAGGTTAAATACAAGAGAGCTGGTACAGACACAGATGGTCACTCTGAACTGTCTGTAGACATAAAACTCAGTTGCAGATGGAGTGCAGAGACGGGAGGCGCTGCGATGAAGTCAAACTGTAAACTGATTCTTGATATTCAGCGCTGGCTCAGCGCCAGAGGAGCTGTGCTTGGTACCAGAGTTTTCTTCACTCTCACTCCACAGAGAAGATAAATACTAAGCTCCTTTTCTCAGTTCAGTTCTTTTTTTTGGTGTCTGTGTGTGGCCTCTTCCAGTTGTTAGATTATAAAAGCTTGAGAAAATTTATGTTTGGTTTTCTATTTGGAACATGCAAAAGAAGAAACATGTCTGTTTGGTGCTCTTGGTATTCTGAAATGATTTGCAGTCTGCAAAAAGATCTCAGGAGGGGCAGAAAAAAAAAAAA